ATGTAACTAAGGCATATGTCACCATAGCCAAATCCGACATCTCAAGGAACGGCCGCAGCTGATCATATGATCCCCGAAGTCCACTAAGTTCAGAAAGCAGCTTGAAAACTTCTTGCACTTGTATTGCGGTTTTATACATCTCTATTACAAGCAAATTCCAGATAATTCAGTTGGGTTTATGTTCAGGTAAGTATGTATAGGACTGTGGCCTAAATGGCTGAAAGGGAAAACAATTATTAGTGCTAAGGATCCCCTTTGGATCCTAACTGAGATGGTTTTCCAGATATTTTTCAACAGCTCTTGTTATATTGACCCATTTAATTTAAAAACACACTTCTTTTTGTGTACTTGAATTGTGGAGTTCTGTAGTTGGAAATATTAATTTTATTATATGTACTGTCTTGCAGCTAAGTGAAGAAAAGGTAAAAAATTTAATATATTCTTATTTTTTCAATGCATATTTTACTAATTATTATTTTTCCTAAATGGCCTTAGTCACCATACAGTACTCAGTAGGATCTTTATCCATTTGATTAATCCAAACTTGCCTTAGCTTGATGGCTATCCGGCCAAATTTGGCCACATTGTAAGTTGTTGCCTTATTTCTATCTTCTAACAAGGTTTGGAGACTAAGATTGCTAATATTTAAAATACTCTATTTGTGTGGGTTCCCAAGCTATCAACATTTTTCTAGTCATCAACAAGGTAAAGGATGTGGTAGAGACTGATACTGAAATGCAAAAACTAAATCTGTTTTGTCATAAATCACAGGGACCATTCACATTGTGTTATTATTTATGTCAAAGCTTGAATAGTAAAATGTGCAACAGCCAGAAAATCCATGGGACATTTAGGATAGTTTCGAAACCTGCATGCTGTTAGATTAAATGCATGATACTTTTTTCTTTCGACTGTCAATAAACATTTTTAGTTAGGAGATTTATAGTACATGTTATATTGTGGCATATTAAGTTGGAAACTGAAGAAATCCTGAATATATTAGCAAATAAAATGAATATATATGTGTATGCATTGGTAAACCATATATGGGTTCTTCATCTAATTGCTCATATTTGAGAAATGTTTATTGAGCATGTTTCAGCATTTTTCTCTTTCAGAATTAAACTGATTTCCTGAGTTTCCTAAAATTACCAAGAATTTTGATGATTAGTGTTGAAATAATTCTTTTTATTACAAGTATGTTCACCTAAATGTTTAGCATGGCCATTATGTCTCAGAAAATTACTGATAATAGTTTTTTGGAAACACTGTACAGTAGGCATCCTTTAGTCTCGAGAGACTATGGTAACGTGCTCTGAATAGAGGTCTTGGAACAGCATCTAGTATGGCTGAGAAGGCCTTAGTACACCCTTACGAAAGCATTATTCTCTATTTAGTTCCAAGTTTCACTACTGAGTCCTATGCTGGATCATCTCTATTCATTTTTTTCTCTATCCAGTTGTTTCCTGTGTTTGCAGAGCAGAGCTTCTCCTTCTGCCACTTGTCTTATAGTTTTATACCTATAATCTCTTATTTAAATCAGTCATATCTGTATATTGTAATAAAAAGGAGCCATATGGTCAGTACAAATGCAAGAGTGAACAATGCAAGTACTAATGCAAGACTGGGCAATACCATTATAGACCACTAAAAAAACCCTCATAAACCAGTGTGCAATGTTTCATGGATCAGGACCATCCACTTGGTCAGGCCTGTATCAGTGTGAAGAACTTAAAAGTCCAAAAGTTCATGGCAAGGTGGATTTTTCCAGAAAAGTTAGTGATTTCGCTAGGCACATCTTCCTTAGAAGCATTTGCATCTATAGCTCATTCTTGATTTCTTGTTCAAGTCTTCTGAGGCCTGGTCATTTCTCTCCCTCTGAAGCTATTGTTTTAGTGGGAAAACATTTGTTATGCAGTATGGAAGACTGCAGGAAAGGAAAGACCACAAAGACATACTTCTGTGGCCTCTTCAAGGACATTTGCGACCCAGAGCAGGGCTGGGCAACACACGGACTGCTAGATGTATTTTGGCTGAAACCCCTATTGGTAATGTAACCAATGCAAAGTGATGATGTGAGTTGGAGCCAATAGTATCTTGAGGCCCACTTGTTCTTCATCTTTTGCCTGAAGCATACAGAACTATGCAGCTCTGTTAGGGTTCAAAGAGTCCTGCTCACAGCCTAGAGCATGAATATGCTAACCATTGCCAACACTTGAACAGTCAAGCAGAAGAACAAAGTGCACTAATGAGTAGGCAGAAACCACATTAAGTTGAGTCAAGTAGGAGTGCAGCTGGGGAAACACTTTGTTGTTTCCAATCCCCTTATAGTTTCACTCCAAAACATGGTGCCATCTTGGGCAGATGTGAAGACAAGGGTGATACCTTTGTTAGACCATTTCACAGACAGAAGCTAGTTTTCAACTTGCATTCATCAGGCTGGGTGTCCTAGAGCTGGAGGTTGTACAGAAGAAACATAGAAGTTCCAAAAATCATGGCCAGATGTACAGGTCAGTTTCCTTTGTTTAAAGCAAATTCCCAGCTAGGTAGTGCAGAGTCAAGTCCGCAGAACCTAGCTGGGAATTTGTTTTAAACAAAGCAAGGTAGCCGATTTCTGATTTCACCTCTGAGAGTGTAGTTTAGATCACTGGTTCTTCACCTTGGGTTACTCAGGGGTTTTGGACTGCAACTCCCAGAAGCCTTCACCACCAACTGTGCTGGCTGGGGTTTCTGGGAGTTGCAGTTCAAAAACAAGATTTCTGATTTCACCTCTGAGAGTGTATTTTAGATTATCACTGCCAACTCCACCCGGCTCTGTAGTGCCCAGAATGATGAAGGGTCCCTCAGGAGTTGAAAGGTAGCTTCTGTTTGTGAGACTGTAGTGGTCTGACAAATGTAGACTCCACCCTGTCTTCCAATTGCATACAAGGAAGGCATAGCTTTTTTGAGAGGATGAAATATAGTGCATTTTGAACTGTAACCACCAGATGGCAGTGCAAGCCAGAGAAATTCATTCCCGCTCTCAGTTAACTGCTGAAACTGGCGAGAACTTTGTAACTGATGGAGCATGCAGACTACAGTGCAACGATTTTATAACTTCTTGCCTGATGAAGTGATAGTAATCCCAAATGTTTGCACATGTTTTTATGCATTTTGGGGTTGTTAACTTAATAAAATAGCACTGCAATATGATTTCTGCAATTTAATTAAGGTGACAGCTGTTTCCCAAGTTCTGGCAGTCAGAATTTTTAACTCTGGAATTCCTCAAATGCTGCTGACACCATAGGCTTTCCTTTGTTTACTCACCAGGATCCATTTCTGGGTGGAAAAAAGATTGAAAAGACTCTAACCAGTGATCCAGTTAATCAGCTATTGTAGGAAAATACAAGCTCTCTTGTAAGTGGAGGAAGCAAGAGAAACGGTCCTCAGGAATGGGACACTTCTCCAAGGCAAAGAGAGAGAAGGAGCAAAGAAAGTTAAACAGGAAGTCAGGCTGAGACGCTTCTCCTTTCCTTAGGGGAGTGAGATGCAGAATTAGTTTTACATGTGAAGGGAGATACAGTAACACTTTTCCAATTCTTGAAATATTGTCATACAGAGGAGGAGCAGGATGTTCTCAGTCATTACAGAGTGCAAGACATGTAACAATTAGCTTGAGTTACAAGAAGCCAGATTTTGATGGGGGGTTGAAAAACATTTTAACTATTAGTGCAATATGACAATGGAACCAATTACCTTGGTAGGTGGTGAGCACACCAGTCCTGGAGGCATTCAAAAGAAAATTAAACAACTATGTCTCAAATATAGTTTGATTAGGATTCCTGCCTATAGCTGGGGGTTGGACTCAATGGCCTTATAGGCCTCTTCCAACTCCATTATGCTATGATTCTATAATGCTGGTATCAGGCAAGTAGTCAGCTCATGGGAGAACTCATTTCCTAAGCTGCAAGTGGAGAGTTATAGTTCTCAAATCTTACAAAGATTCCAAGAGAGTCCTCTGATAAGGAAGAATTGTAATTAGAATTGCGGATATTTGTATTTGTATATGAATACCCCCACACAGGTGGACGTGATGAGGGGTCCACTCACCCATCTGCCACTGGCACTGGCTCCATGTTCCCTTCCATTCGCTCCAGAGCTCCTGGTTGGCTATCTACTCATCAGCCTCACAGGGAGACTCATCTTCCCTCCTCTTGCCAGGAGTGAGTTGATCAGGAGCTCTGGAGCGATTGGAAAGGAGAGCGGAGCCAGCACTGGCAGTGGACGGTCTGGCCCCAGGGGGCCAGACCCTTGTTACGTCCACCTGTGTGGGGGTATTTGTATACAAATACCCCCATCTTTAATTTTAATGATCAGAATTGTTCCCCTCCTCTAAAAGTGCTTCTATTGCATTAGCCAGAAAGATATTAATAGTAAATGCAGTCTTTTATACATGTGCAAGTTGTGTATGTTTCGTAAGGACACAGAGGTCCTTCCTACTAATCTCTTCATACCAAAAGAAGATGCTTTTTTCCACAAGTCCCAGTGTAGAGGAGGGTAAAGTAAGATCCTAAGCCTTTTCACCCTTTCTGTCAAGCCTAGTGGAAGCTGGATATGAACAGCGTATTAGGATCAACATACTTTGTGCAAAAACCTTCGGATGCCCTGATTCTTTGTCACATTTCACCACATTTCCTTCTCGGGCAACAATACCCAGATCCATTAAAGCAGCCTTTCCCACCCTTGTATTTTTCAAATATGTTCAGCTACAGATTCCATAAACCTACCATCTGTGCTATTGAAGTTGATGGGAGTGGTAGTTCAACACATGGCTAGGGCACCAAGTAGTCAGGAAGCTGGTTTAAGGATATGTATTTCCATAAGATACAGCATCATCTATTTTACTGCACATTACAGCTTGTTCTACTTAAGCAGCAGCTATGCCCAGAGGCCTTTCCATCAGCACAGTCACTCTGGATACTATAACCAAACACTACAAATTAGAGATCTTTGCCATTCCATAGGAATAACATTTGAGAAAAGAATGTGATATAGCACATATTTTATCTACCCATACATTTAGCAGTTCTTCATCCTGTTATCTTTGCTTGTACACGACCCAGTATTGGATGCCTCTTTGCAATAGAAAATGGAGTGTTTGACGTTCACAATGTAACTAAAGCATTTGGACTGTACCGACTTGATCAAATGGCTGATGCATGGTAGATAGAAGTCTGTAGTTCTAGTATCAGGTGGTGCTTTAGCTGATATCCCCCCTGCTTGTGCTAGGCCTAGTGGTAGGAGGAGCCTACCCACTTTGTATACCCGTGTCACACAAAATTGCAACAAAGCTTCATGCCCAGTGTTTCATTTCCTTTGTGTTGCTTCTTAGATTTGAAATAGCTTGAAAGCCAGAATATGCTTAATAAAAAAATTAACTAATTGTTCTTCACAGCCCAACAGATTGAAAGAGTTGGGATTAACACCACGAATACCTGAGGAGAGAATACCCCCAGAAAGACCAAGACCAGCTTTTCAGACTCCTACACCTGTGCCTGCCTCCATATCTGCACCTCCTGTTTCACCAGTGAATGAAGATTTTCACAAAGGACTGTCTGCTGCTCTTGGAGAAATGTTGGCTCCCAGGTGCCTTTCTTATGGTGTTCCCTTTGTAGTTAAGGACTCGTTGAGTAGATTTTAGGTAAAGCCCTGTTTGAAAATAAAAACCTTGGCTTAATAATGCACAAACATTTTGTTTCTACATTCTGCTACACAGTGCCCCTTCATTGCTCTCATCTTGGCATGCTGCAGTTAACTCAGGAAGTCCAGCCTGCTGGCCAGGGTTGCAGTAAATAAGCTTAACAATCAAGTTAGGGATCTTGAATAATGCTTTGGTAAATTCTGGCTTTTTCTGAAGCTTGTAACCAACTTTCAGATTTGTACATAATTGGGAAAATGTATTTTGAAAAGATTTCCTAACTTAAATCACATGCCTATTGAGCCTGAGGCATGTGTTGTGAAATGGTAGGGATTTATTGTATAGAAAGGGTTGTGTTAGTCTTGAATGTCTTCCATTAAGAAACGTTTAACTACTGAAAGTGATAGAATTCTTAAATGGAAACAATAGCCATACATTTTGGTTCTCTCAGTTGGAGTATATTATGAAAAGTGTCCGTTAAAAGATTTTTTTTTTTGCTTTGGATTTAGAATTGCACCTCTCCCACCACCGCTGCCGCCGCCACCACCACCAGTTTTGGCTGATCATTATAGAACTCCGTATGATGATGCGTACTACTTCTATGGGGCCCGGAATCCTTTGGATCCCAGCCTTGCATACTGTAAGTTGGTTGATTGGCAAATATTTTAATAGGTAATCTGAAGCAATATCCTTTTTGAAGGCTCCTTTAATGTCAAGATAAAACAGGTTTTTTTTGTTTTTTTTTAAAAAGAGAAATATGATTCAACTTCAGATTAGATAAGAATTGTGGAAGTTTGCAGAAACATGCAAGCTGAGCCCAACTCCCTACAGATTTTGCCATTTGTTCCTAATGGTGCAGAGTCAACCCATTCATCCATTGGTTTCTTTTTTGCCCTGTCTTTTTCCACACATTTTTGCAAGTATTCAGTTTCACATGCTGAGTGGAAAAAGAAAAACAAAACTTGAAGCCAAAAGCTGCTTCTGTGCTCTTTAGGCAGTTGGAATTGTTCTGCTAATATTTGATCTGAGAGGTAGAGGTGTTTTTTCTTTTTTTAAAGAAATTTGATCTTCTTGCCTATGGAGGCTTTAGGCATGTTCAGAAAGTTTTAGTCCAGAGAAGTAAGCATTGCAGAGTTGGCTTACCTCCCTTGACTATTCCCACTTCCCCCCCTGTGGGTTTGCAGAGAGAGGGGAATTGGCTGACACATTTGCTGTTGTTGGTAGAGGTGGTTGCCAGATTGGGTCTTCCAAGCTTTGGGAATTCTTAGAAAAATGTCAAGTACTGTATGTATTAAGGATGTTCTTGCTAATGAAGATGGACAGTTTCCCCCATCGCATCATTAATCTATATTTCTCTCTCTCATGTCCACTAATATCTGCAGTTTTCAGTACAGTGGTGCCTCGCTTAGCGATTGCTCCGTTGAGCGACGAAATCGCTTAGCGATGGGGTTTTGGCCATCGCAAGAGCGATCGCTTAGCGATGGTCCCTTTGGGGAAAAATCGCTTTGCGATGATCGCAGGGAAGCGATCATGGCAAAGCGACTCTTTTTAAACAGCTGATCAGCAGTTTCAAAATGGCTGCCGGAAAAACAAAATGGCCGCCTGCTGTGTGTCCTCTCTTTAGAGGCACCGAAAATGGCCGCCCCTATGGAGGATCTTCGCATAAGGTTAGTTTTGAAGCCCATAGGAACGCATTAAACGCATTTTAATGTGTTTCTATGGGCTTTTAAAAATCACTTAGTGATTAAATCACTTAGCAGTGTTTTTCCTGGAACAGATTAACATTGCTAAACCAGTTACCACTGTATCTGCGGGGGGCTTGAAACCAATCCCCATTGGATATGGGGCTCCTACTGTATATAATAGTGGCAGTCCATTTCTACAGAGCTACTATATGTTACAGACATAGGTGTTTTTATGAATTCCATGTTTATTCTACCCTTTTACAAGGAGCTTAGGGCAGCATATGAAATTTTCCTTTTCCTCATTTTCTCTTGCAGCATCTCTGAGTTAGGTAGTAATGAGAAAGAATGACTGATTCACAGTTATCCTTAGTAGAATCTTCCTCATCATTGTCTTAGAACTGCAGAGCTGGAAGGGACCCTATGGATCTTCAAGTCCAGCCCCTGTCAAGGAGGCGCAGTGGGGAATCGAACTGTCAGCCACTGGCTCTGCAGCCAGATACCTAATCCAGCAGTTATTGGAAGTTTATATAGATTGTGTCATTGAATCCCATTAAAGAAGAACTCCCAGCATGCACATCTACCCATCTATCTGATAAAATGTTGCAGTATATCCTTTCTCTTGAAAGAAATGTTATTATTATTATTATTTATTTTATTTATATCCTGCCTATCTAGTCAATTAAGACCACTCTAGGCGGCTGTTAAGGTTCTAGCTAACCATTTTTCTTTCTGTTCCCATCTTGCCTTCACCACCCATTGATTTTCCCCTTTCCCCTTTTGAACTGTCATTCTGTATTCATTGATTTTAAGGTACTCAGTTGTTATTGGAAAGTTACCCCTCTTCTATTTTTTAAAAATTGTTTTTCACTTCTGCAAACCTTGAGGTACCTGATATCTCCTCCTTCTGAGTGTTCCCATGTTGGCTACAATCTTACAGGAGACTCACCAGCTGATTTCATTGTTGATATATATTGAGTTACGTGTTTGGCATAATTTTTCATCACGGCAATATTTAGTGAATATTATTCCAAATCGGAGCTCTTGATGTCACCATAAACTCTAAGACTAAATGTTCAATGTCTTCATTTTTTAAGATGGCACAGGCTTGATGGGGGTTCAATCTTCTTCGGCACCACCACCTGTTGATGCTGTTCAAAGGCCTCCTGCTGTGACTCTGTAAGTATTGCTATGATTAAATTAATATTGTCCAGTTAGGTATTGAGAAATCTGGGAGGAAATGGAATAATGGAAGATTACTTTTTTTTGAAGGTAACTTTAGCTTTAAACGTTTCAGTTTTGACCTTTGTATGGGAAAGATTTTAAAAAATTATTTGAAAATTATATTTCAGCTGGAAATCATTTTAGTTTTTTAAAGAAATCTTTTCTTTCCATTTCTTTTGTATGCAGCAGTAAAATTGGAACAAGCATTACAAATGAGAGACCACGAGGTCTGGGAATATTTCCTGAAGAAAAACCTAAACGCACAAGAGAGGCTACTTTAGCCTATCAACAAGAATTACAGCAGCAGGTTGGAAGTTGACATTTGTTGGGAAATGACTTTTGTATTCTGAATGCAAGTTTTTTACTACTGATCTGTAAGGAGAGAAGAGTTGTAAAATAATACACTTGATTTTCTCAAATTAAGTGCACTCATTATTGAACGTTTGTAATTTTAGTGTGCCCATGACTCTTGTAGTAAGAGATGACAGCTTGAGATACATCATGCATCATTTTCTTAATCTTTCAGATTTGTATCACTTATTATTATTATAATTACTATAATATTATTGTAGTATATATTACTTTATTATTATTAAAATTATTATTACTCATATAACCCAGTACAGTATTAACATGAGTAGTATAAGGTTAGCGTTTTAGTAATTTTTATGTGCAATATTTGAATTTGTACCTTAAAATATATGATACAGAGAAAAAGCAGCTGAGCTTTTGATCTTTCCAATTTCTTCTTGAAGAAAAGTCCTGCAGAATTCAAAACTCACCTATTTTTAACATTTTAGTGTGTTGCATAAGGCTGATTATGTTTATTAATTACTTGGATGAGAGGGTGCAGGAAATGCTTATCAAATTTGCGGATGACACGTTATTGGGTGGAAGAACTGACACCCTGGAAGACAGAACCAAAATTCAAAAAGATCTTGATAGGATCCAGCACTGGGCCGAAAACAACAGAAAAAAATTTAATAGAGATAGGTGCAAAGCTCTACAGCTAAGGGGAAAATCCAAACACAGCTGCAAGATGGGAAATACTTGGCTCAGTAATACTACAAGCGAGAAGGATTGTTATTCGGTGGAAGAACTAACACCCTGGAAGACAGAACCAAAATTCCAAAAGGTCTTGATAGGATCCAGCACTGGGCCGAAAACAACAGAAAAAAATTTAATAGAGATAGGTGCAAAGCTCTACAGCTAAGGGGAAAATCCAAACACAGCTGCAAGATGGGAAATACTTGGCTCAGTAATACTACAAGCGAGAAGGATCTTGGAATTGATGTAGATCACAAGCTGAATATGAACAAACAGTGCAATATGCCTGCAAAAAAAGTGTCTCCTGTTTTAAGCTGCATTAATACAAGTATAGTCTGCAAATCCCGTGAATTCCCAGTTCTCCTCAGGAAAAAACCTAACTATTTAGCAAAACCAATATTGTTGTCACAAGATGCGTTTTGAACTCTCATTATTTAATAAAAATGATTCTACTAATAATGCATCTGAATGTTACTTCTTTCTTGCAGATAAAAGAGAGAGAAGAACGTCGAAGGCAAGAAAAAGAGGAAAAGGAACGGTACGAAGCCAAATTAGAAGCTGACATGAGAAATTACAATCCTTGGGGAAAAGGAGGTGGAGGTGCTCCTCTCAGAGATAAAAATGGAAATCTCATAAGTACGTTTGAAACCCAGGGGGTCTTTTTCTGGCCTGTTTTTATCTGTAGCTGTTTTTATAGGTTCAGAAATAAATGGCATTGGATGGGAGTATAAAGTGGATGTACTACAGCGAATTTACAGCATAGAAGAAATTTGTTGCAATGATTTAGGCCAATCAACCAGTGCGTGTTTCAGGGAGAGCTAGTTCTACAGGAACAAGATTTTAAAAAACAACTCTATAACTGGAAAATTGCAGCAAGGGGATTGAAAGGAAGGTGTGAAATAAATGAAATGTGGACAAGAATTCCATGATAACTAAGGGCAAGTTACAAGAAGAAATATTTTCTAATAAAATCCCACTTCTTCTAAATAGAAGCTTTTTTCTATTTAGTATTTACATTTTGTGAATGAAGTTGAGTTTTCAATGAAAAAATAAAATGGCTACTGCTAACTATTTTTCAAACATGTGTCATAAGGGAAACTTCATGTGAAGTTATGAGTTTTTTAAAACTTTAGCAACAATCTGCACTTGTTTTCAAAGAGGCAGTTACTATGAAGCATTAAAAGCAAATTTTCTTCCTAGCAAAGTTATTTTGAAGGGCAAAGGTTCAAGAAGCCTCTGGCTTCAAATGTAGAATAATTTCCTGCCTCGCATGTATAGCTTGTATGAATCACAGTGATAGTGTATTTAATATTTAAGAGCCTCGTGGCGCAGTGGTTAAACCGCTGTACTTGCAGCCAAAACTGTGCTCACAACCTGGGGTTCAAATCCCAGGTAGCCGGCTCAAGGTTGACTCAGCCTTCTATCATTCTGAGGTCGGTAAAATGAGTACCCAGCTTGCTGGTGGGGGGGGGGCAATGTGTAGCCTGCATAATTAACTTGTAAACCGCCCAGAGAGTGCTTGAAGCACTATGGGGTGGTATATAAGCAGCATGCTTTGCTTTTTGCTTTTTTAGTATTTCTGTATATGTTTGTTTGTTCTCATTTTGTATTGGTGAGGAATAAATTTAAGATTAAAAACTGTAGTTCAGACGAAACATTCCTTAAAATATTCTGGCTTACCTACTAACATTTTTGTGTATAAAAAAAATAAAAATCAGAAGTACTGTTTAATATGACTAATCACTTTGAGTGTGTGAAGATACTGGCCAAAGATACTGGGATTCAAGGAGAGAGGGGAATTGATGACAAACTCTTTCTCATCTGCTGCCATATATGATGCTTTTGAAATATATAATTTGCATGTAAAGAAATGAGACAATGTTTTGTCTAGAAACAACCCTATAACTGTTATAATAAAGCAGTAACAGAATTACAGGAATACATCAGAGTACCAAGATCTGAGAACCCTTTCTCTTAGGCCTAATTTTTTTTTGTTAACTGATATACCTTTAGTTTAAAAAGGGATAATAACAGAAATGTTACTTTGATTCTTAGTGAGTGTTTAGATGAAACATGACTATACTAATGATCACACTGGCTGTTGGATTTTGGGAGTTGTAGTAAAAGAAGTTACATTTCCCATCTCTTCACCATAAAGCACATGTAACCCAGTCTTGAACTGAGACCTTTGTGTGTCTTAACTGTGAGACTTGAAAAACATTTCTTACCTTGAAACTGTCAGAAACATGCCTCTTGCTGGAATAAACTATTATAAATGGCTGTTTCCCCCTCTTTCTCAGCTGACTTGAATATGATGCACAAGCAAAATGAAGATGCATATCATAATCCAGTGGCACGAGCGCATGAAGATAAAAGGCCTATAGTATCTGTTGACCTAAGCTTGGCCTCCCCAAGACTTGAGAATACAGATGAATCTACAAATAAAATAGCAGGTTTAAATAATGCCATACTTCCAGTTGTAAATGTGTTTTGTGTCCCTTTTCAAAATAATTATGCTTTCTTACTATGCTGTACTTTCCACTGAAGGCAGTCCTATATTTTTCCTTGTTACAGATTTATCTTAAACTAGTTGCAAGAGCACTAGACACTGTTGTTGCACTAATAAATATGTTTGTATTCTGTATAGCTTCCTGTTTCCCACAGTAAAGCATTCTGTATATACCCAAGGTATTCTTCTACACAATATGTCTACCCTATTAAGAAGAGGACAGAAACCCATCCATACACCGTATTTGCCGGTGTATAAGGCGACTGGGTGTATAAGACCCCCCCCCAACATTCCCACTCAGAATGTAGAGTTTGTTATATACTTGCTGTATAAGACTACCCCCTCTTCCGCATGTGTGATTCTGCTTTGGCTGCATCATGGGTAGAGTTCCTTTTGCCCCTTTTGGTTCCTTTTCGGAGAGAGCCAGGGTTTGCTAGAAGAAGGAACAGCAGAGAGGCGGCAGCCATTTTGGAGAGGCGGCAGCCATTTTGAGAGGCAGCAGCCATGTGGTCGCATCTCAAAACGGCTGCCTCCTCTCTGCTGTTCCCCACAGTGAGCTGTATGGCGCTAGAGTCAGGCTGTTCCCAGGCTAGGAGGGGGGGCTCTCCTCGGTTTTACTACCAGGTAAGTGACTTCACTGGGAGAGAGGGAGGGTTTGCTGGACATGCACCCGGCATACAAGACGACCTCCCCACTTGGAGGCATGTTTTTCAGGGCCAAAAAGTCGTCTTGTACGCCGGCAAATACGGTACATAGTAATGACTGGGTCATATATAAAACCTTCAACAAGGTTCATATTACGGTTGCCCTCTCTCTTCCCTGCTCCCTCAACAAAGCTGTTCAGGCACATGAGATTCTGTTGGGGGAATAAGCACAGCAATTCTATTTCACAGTTTTTGTGAAGAACTAGGAATTTCAGCCTTACAATATATGTTACGTTATTGGTTTTCCTTTTAAAAAAAGCAGTATGATTTCAGAATGTGATAATGAGATATCTGTATCTGTATAAGCACTGATGTAACTCATGTGCAACACTGCTTACAGGCAAAATGCAGAGAGGAAGTAATATGGTAGAAGGTGGCTTAGTATAATGTGTATGCATGCTGACCAACAGACCATTGGGGGAATGGGAGGTTGTGCGTATCTAGCCCTTCCCCCAAAGGATCAAAGTTAAGCTTTGTTAGGGTGATATGTTAGAAGTTTATTATTCTTCCATTCCTCTGATGGGCTGTTCCGTTGTATTTGTTGTGCAATGGCATAAGACAAAACAAACTTCTTTTAAATCTATAGTCCCAGTCTGCAGCAACATGGATATTGCCTATATATTCATTCTAAACCAGAATGTTGAAGATATTATTTTTGTTTGACGTTTTCATGGGGTTTACAGGCGTTTCCCCCCCCCCAGTAGTTGCTAACTACTTCACGTGAAAGTGGAGTATTCACATGATTGCATAGTGCATTAATCAACAAAGCCAACACTATAATAGTCTTTGGAGCCAGATACAGTCATCAGTTTAAAGGTTTATGCAAAAGGATACTGAAGTTTGAAACCATTTTTCTTTGAAAACTGTTTTACATGTACAGAAACCTCCCCTTTTGCCCGTGGTAATGTTTTTGGTGAGACCCCAACCCCAGAACAGCTAAGGCGGCAAGAATCTTATAAGAACTTTCTTCGTTTTCAAGTGAGTATGTGCAGCAATGTAAAATGAAGATTTTTTAAAAAGAAAATGCAGTATACATGCATCTGTCTGTCTATCTCTGTCCATGGCTAAAGTCTTGTCATATAGCTCTGTGTGAGCAGCAGTGGTGTCATTACCAGCGGCAGATTGTTGCTAATTAAAGACTTCCTTTGGGGCGTTCAGAGTACACGCAACTTCAGCACTTTGTGTACAAATCACTTGCACCCCAAAATTTTCTTTAATCAGCAGTGATTTGGCACTGGCAATGACATCATGATTGTACATGTGAAGCTACACAGCAGGACTTCAGTCATTGTAGTTTCAAAAACTTCTACAAAGTGGTGCCTGCTCATAATTTTAAAAGAACATATATATTTTTTTCATATAGTATCCTGTATACTAATAACATGTACCTTATATGGTCCTTATATAACAGAATGCCACTGGACATTATAAAAAATGTTTTTTAGTCGTTAAGTCATGTCCGACTCTTGACCCCATGGACCAGAACACGCCAAGCCCTCCTGTCTTCCATTGCCTCCCGGAGTTTGGTCAAATTCATGTTGGTAGCTTCAGTGACATACAAAAAATAGGATGCACAACAAGCAGGATATAATTATTTAGGGTAGTAGAAATTCATTTGTTGTGAAATAGTGAAATGCAGTTTTATTCTCTTATTATTTTCACAAAGGTGGCGAATGTCAGCTTAGAGCTACTGGACAAACTACTCTTAATTGTATAACAATTCAATTTGCACTTCTGGAAATACAAATTTGTATCGTCTGCTATAACTACATTTTCATATTGAATATTTGCTTCAGTAAGGAAATGTAATATGAGGCTGCTTGCAATATATTATTCAACCTTTCTGTATCTAGTACCTACTTATTCAAATTTATGTTTTTAACAAGAAGAGGTCTACAAAGGCTTTAGAAACAACAGTTGGCAACCTATATGAAGCATGGTGAGAGATGCATATAATACAACCTCATGGTAAATGGATAGTGTCAGGACAGACTAGGTGTGCTTTGACATGGTGTTTTGTGATTGCAGAACACTTTCGCCCAGAAAAATTACCTACTATACATTAACAGTTATGGTGGGGATATTCTTAGTGATGTTCAGTGGATAAATAATTGGGTATTTTCTTTCCAGATAGAGGAGAAAAAGAAGAGAGAAGAAGAAGAGCGTGAAAGACAAAGGCTTGAAGAAGAAAGGGAGGAGAGAAGACTGGCCGAACAAAGGGCTAGGATACAGAGAGAGTATGAAGAAGAACTGGAAAGAAAGCGAAGGAAAGAAGAGGAGGTGTGACATCTAACTTGTGTAAATTAGTAGATGCCCTTCTTTGTGAAGAATGATGGGACTTTTCAGTTCTTTGATTTGTTAAAGAAAATATATTAGCATTGTGGTCATAATATTAAAAGCTGTCTTTTTCAGTCATGCATATTGTAGTAACTACTGACTGAGTCAATGGTGTTTATTTGTTAGTCACCACTGCTGCTTTGCTTTAGCCCGATTAAAAGAAGGTGCACTTTTTCATTTATCTGAATGTAAGACTAAATTATTGTTGACAGAATGTATTCTTAAGTATATTGCCTTAATTTGTAGCCTTCTTTCATTTGTGCATATTCTGTTATATGTTGGGTTTTCATATTCTCTGTAATGTTCTGGAAGGCTTTGATAGTATCTGTCAAAACTTGAACTGGGGTCAAAACGTGTAAAAAAATTCACTTAGTTTTGCATCATTGCAACTTTATCTTTGTAGCAAAGATTAAAAAATGAAGAACTATATCGATTAGCTGAAGAATGGAAAAAAGAGGCAGAGAAGAAAAAGACGGAGGAAGAAGAAAGGCAGGATAAACAGAACAGTGGAATAGAAAAACATACAATTATTGAAGAAGGAAAGGTAATCTTCAAAAATCATTTCTTGAATACTGTCGTTCTTCAGGTGGATATAAGGATGATTACTCATTCCTCCATTGTCCCCTGGCCTGTAACTGACCCAAGTAGATTGGGAAAGAGAGACTCCAGAGTAGGATTTTTTTTAATGGATGGGTAAAATGTGCCTTGCAGCCAAGGTCTAAACCTGTGACTTTATTTGAAATTACAATTGCAAGTCACATTTTAGTGATGTGAAGAAACCACAAACATTTTGTAGGGCTTATTAGAAAGCTCTGAAAACTCAGATGACTGAATTTTTAAAAAGACAATATTAATAGTAAAAATGTACCTTTTAAAGATAAAATTAGTAGAATTCCAGTATAAATGTTCATGAGTTTATGCTGAAGAACTGACTCTGTAAAATATTCTTTTACTGTTTAGGTAACTTATGTTAAATTTGGTTTAAATATTAGCCTGGCCTGCTAGCTAAATGGCTACTGAAAATTTAAATGTTAGAATCTGTCTCTTTCTCCCACTTCTGTTTGGTCTGATTTAGGAAATGTTTACTAAAATGTTAAATTCATCTCCTTTTCTACCAAAAGTAGTGCTTTAATAAGTAGCAGTGCTTTATTTTATTAAATACACAGTAAAAATTATAATCAAAAATTTACTGACTGATCAGTAAAAACTGATGAATTAGAAAGATGATTAGAAAAATAATTTTAAAAAAAGGAAAGCGTTTTTTCTAGAAATTTGATTTGTGACCATTAATACAATATAACGCTGAATAGCTGTAAGGGGCTGAAAGAACAACCATAGCTGGCTTTGATTTTGGAAATAAACAGCCCATCTGTGTACTTATAATACAGTGGTGCCCCACAAGACAATGTTAATTCGTTCTGTGAAAGTTGCTGTTTAGCAAAAACATTGTCTTGCGAAAAGTGTTTCCCCGTTGGAATGCATTGAACTCCATTTAATGCATCCCAAAGGGGACAAATCGTTGTTTTGCGAAAATCGCCCATAGAGAACCCATTTTGCGAAGCCGCCGATCAGCTGTTTAAATTGCTGTATTGTGAAAATCGTCCCGAAAACACCCGTTTTGCGAAGCCGCTGATCAGCTGTTTAAATCGTCGTCTTGTGAAGCATTAGTTCCCGGGGGGAAAAAACCGTCTTGCGAAGCACGGACCAAATCATCGTCCAGTGAAAATCACCCATAGGAAACACTGTTTTGCGGAGCGCAATGGCGATAGCAAAAACTCATCATCATGCAGATTCGTCATTTTGCGAGGTCATCGTCTAGCGGGGCACCACTGTATAGTAATTTAAACTTATTTTTTTAAAAGCCTTCCCTTGTGTATAAACTCTTTTTGCAATATTATTTTTTTCAGCTCAAATGTGTTTTCTCCCCCCCCCTCTGGTTTTTCAGATTTCAAGACAGCCTTCTCCTCTCATTCCATCCCTTCAGAACAAGTCATTAGTAAAAGAAGAAAGGCAACTTACAATGGCGAGCCGTACATCTTATTATACACATGTATGTTTGCTTATTGTTCATCCATAATCCATGAATAGATTCTGGCACTGCTTTTTAACCTAAACAAGATTTTGTTGTGTCAAGATTGTTGTCTTGGGAATAGGGAGAGAAATATCCCAGTGTAGTTTATGTGCTTAGCTTGCAGGTCCATAATTGTCTCAAGTCTGCTTAGTTTTAGAGAAAATCTTGACAATATCACACTTTAACTCTCCCTCTCTGTTGTGGTCCAATAGGTTTGCCCCCACACCTATCCAATGCTTGACGTTTAATTAAGAACAGGACTAGAAATATTGTTGTGATGAAGTCATTCCTTAGAATATGTGAAAATAAATTTTAGGAAGTAACAGTTTTCTTCTTTTGCTACTGATATGATTGTTTTTAGGCAAATTTCTGTTTTGATGTTTTACTAGGATCTTCCAAGAGTTCAGTCTCCTCCAGTTCCGGCTAGAAGAAATCAGCTCCGTGCATATGGTAAGAGTTAGTCACAGCATGAAATAATTGTTGTTGTTGTTTAGTCGTTGTGTCTGACTCTTTGTGACCCCATAGACCAGAGCATGCCAGACCCTCCTGTCTTCCACTGCCTCCTGGAGTTTGGTCAAATTCATATTGGTTGCTTCGATGACATAATACCTGACATGAAATAATACCTGACAACTTTAGCCATTCACCAGGCTGGATAGTTCCCTGGCAGATCTCAAGGATGACTGGACGCAAGTATTATGTATCTTTCTATTTTTATTTTTTTAATTTTCAATTGCAGAAGAAAGAAAGAATGTAATAAGTGAACTATCAGAGATGAGGAAGCAACTCCGCAGTGAAGAACGGAGACTACAGGAACAGTTATTAAAAGTACATAGCGATGATGATAACATGTCAGCTAAAGGGTGAGCATTTGGGTCTGTAGACAGTGTTTCTTAAATGAGTAGCTTGCAGTTGAGTAAATATGAAATATATTTTAGTGGAGTTACAAATCCATGAAATGAAAAGTTGATTGAAGGTGTCATAAGGCATTTTTCCTCTGCTGCATTGTTCTCTTAAGTTTATAGACTTTGTCGATTAATGCCAATGGAATCTGATTCTAGTACCTTATGCATTCATTGAAGTAAAAGAAGATTGCACCCTAGATGAAAATTCAGAGAAATTTTGTTAGCTTTTTTTTTTCTGGTGCAAGATAGCATAGCTGGATAAAAGCTTCTTGTTTCAACTAAAGATTCTAAAATTCCCTCCAGTCATGTTCATCTTGGAGGTCGGAATCTAAAAAGTAGATTTGCAAGAACTAGATAGGGATAGTGGAATTACTTCATATGCCTTGGGTCAGGATGCTCTGATTATAAAACAAGTGGACTCAGTTTGTTTACTGCCCATATGATGCAAAGGCCAATTTGAATCAGTCCAGTCATTTTTTGCTCCCAACATGGACTTTTTTCTTTGCTGCTTGAGGCCTCTACTTTTTTCAAGCTGCAATGCTTTGAACAGACTTTTCCCTACCTGATCATTGTTTCATTCTGTAGTACAGGGGTGGGCAATTAATTTCTATAGAGGGCCACATGAAAAATCTGATCTGTGTTCAGGGGCCGAACCAACTTTACTCAGGTAAAAAAAGGGGTAGCCCTGGTGATGTGAGTCAAATGAGTGTTCCTTTATGAGTGGAAACTTTCAAAGAGAACATGAACTGGGAGCACACAAAGCGGGGACATGGAGAGGTCACTGGCTCTGAAGGTGGGAGGCAGGTAGAGTTGTGTGGCTGTAACTTGAAAGGAGAAGTGGGGTGTGGACCGGGAAGGGAAGGGAAGGAAGAAAGGAAGGAAGGAAGGAAGGAAGGAAGGAAGGAAGGAAAAAGAGAGTGGGCCCTGCTGGCGCCCTTCTCGCAGCTGTCCCGGTAGCACCGCGAGTCGGTCTCGTACCAGTGGTCTGTGAAGTTGGCTGTGACGAGCAGCGCCAAGGAGCAGAGGCTGAGCGACAGGCTGAGCGTGCCCACCAGCGCCCGCCTGCCCCCCCATGGTGGCCTCCCCCCTTCAGCGGATGCCCCTCCGGCCCTCAGAGAGTCCGCGCATCATGGCCAGAGGGGAGGCCGGGACGGTGCACCCGCCGGTGCCCGGGTGCCCACTCTCTCTCATCCGGCGAAGCTGCGAGTGGGCAGGCAGCAGCAGCGATGATGGTAGTGGCGGCGAAGGCGGCGGTGCCGTCCATCCCACACTTCTGGTCCACTCCCCATGGGCGGGCCGCGCCACACAAAGGACAGCGCAGGCACTTGCAGCACCTCTTGCCTGGCGCCAGGCTTTCTGCCATACTGGGTGACCGGAGCCACAGCTCCAGCTTAGGAGCAATCACTGGCGGGCCGGACAGGAGCAGCTCCCGGGCTGTATGTGGCCCGGGGGCCGCACTTTGCCCAGGTCTGCTGTAGTAGGAAATGGGGCATAACTGCAGATAATGCTATGGTGAAGCAAGTAGTTGGGTGTGATCTTTAGGGACCATGGGAACACCTGCCCCACGATCCATCTTGAGTGTCCTTGAATTCCTTAAAATTTATTTGAATAAGTGAATTCAGCACTAAGGCATTGCATTAGTTTAGTGCTCAATCATTCTTGCAGGGGAAAAAAGTGAACCATAAAAGAGTTGGCAGAGGCGAAAGCAGGGGAAGGAAGGAAGGAAAAGGGGCTGTAGGCTGAAATGAGGCAGTGTGGCCATTCAGAGTGAATAGAAGCAGAAGATACTATACGTCACAAATTAAAACACAGCAAAGCTGAATCACTCTGATTTGGCTTGTCAGTGAAGTCATAGCCAATGTTCTGTTTTGTAGAGTTGTTCTAACACTGTATAAAGTTTTATTTGCCAGAATATTGAATGAAAAAAGGCTTGTGGTAAAAAACAGACCTTTGACCCACTTTCTCAAATGTCAAAATCAACAATTCCTGTATGACCCCTTTGATAGCAAGAAGACTAAAAGATGAAAAATCACACCCTCTGACTTTTAGGAAGAGCCTGAACAGCTGCAGAGAATTTTCTTCCCCTTTTCCTTCCATGAAGGCCATTCTGCTCCATTTGCCAGTTGTCTTGGGACTATAGGAGTGGGTGGAGTAGAGGCCCCAGGCATTGACCAAAGAGCTATTTGGATTTATATATATGTTGGGGTTGTTTATTGTAACCTGTCTTCTTTCAAAGACTGTCCTTCCACCTATGCACATTTTTAGAAGATAGTAATTCTAGAATTTGTAAAGTTTTATAACTGTGGCATAATTGATACAAACTGCACATGGAAAACTGCTTATCTCTGGTCAAAGTACTATAGTAGACTAGGAAGGACAGTTTATGACCTGAATTTCTTAAAATTAGTGTAGTTGTTAAATTTGGCTTCTGCATCCCCTTGGTGAGTTGACTTCCTAATGCTCACAGGATATGGGAAATGATTTACTTCCTTTTAGTCCTGAAGTTCAGTTTGAATCAAATGTTTTGCCAGCTCTCTAATTTTAAATTTCCAGATGCATTAGATTTTTAAAGTATCTGGTTGTTCTCAGCAGGAAGAAAGATAAACATTACAGGGATGTGTTTGAGATGGCCAGACTTCGTATGCAAGTTCCAGTCAGGCGACCATCCTCAAAAGATGTTGCTGATCCTATCAATGTACAAAATATCCGTGAATTTAATGAACTCAAATACAAAGGTTAGACATTTCTCTTACTAATGAGAGGATGCAAAATGACTTGCAGTTTATTTCTTAGTTTTGTGGAGGGAGATTTTATTAAATAAAGCTATATAGACCACTACGTAACATATTAATTATTAATTAATATTGCTGTGATTTTCTGAAAAATGCTATGATTCTGTCTTACAGAAAGGCCTAGTAAGATTGTTAATATTTTAAAAAGTGCTGAAGTGCAGTATTTACCTTTTCATGACCTTGAATTCTGATTCATGCTTTCTTTAAGCAATATGTGAGTAATGTGCTATCTTTTAGACATATCTTGTATATATATTTTTGCCACTTCTAATATATTGACATTGGCACTGTCAAAATTGTTAATGGACAAAGTCATTAGGATTATCATGTACCCTTTCTTGAAATCAGGGAAGAATAATTTAGTTTAGTCCACACAAGTAGGACAGGTAACAAAATGTCTTCTGGAGTGCTCTTGGCAGTCAGTGATCTGGGAACTCAGTGAGACTATTCTGTTTCCCATCCTACATTATCTTCCTACAGAGTCATTCTCACCCAACAGCATTTTGTGTCCACTAATATTAAATGGTAATTGGGCAATTCTTGCATGGGTGAAATTGTTTTTTCCTAGACTCAGAGAGGCACTCAGAGAATTGAAATCAGTGTATAGAAACAAGACCTGTGACCAAATGTTGCAGGGCAGAGCGTAGTGGTTTGTCTACTTCATCCAATTAAAAAACCAGTCAATATTCCATGCCTACTCATCCATCCTCATTAGGCTGTTTGGGTGTTTTTCTCCATCAGAGGAGTTATGTTCATAAAGGTATTTTCTTTTTTCTAATACTGTACTATCTTTTAATTGTTGTAAGCTCCTTTGGGTCATTTTTAAGAGAAAGGTGGGTTAAAAATAGTTTAAATAAATAAATACTGCTGCAAATGTGTGGGTTCTTCAAGGTCTTCTGGTTTTGCGACCATATGTTCATGTGTTGCTCTTTTGTTTGCATAAAGACTTGTGTTGTGTCAGACTTGGGGAAACATTAGAGTATGATGATGTGTTTTGCAGGGGCCATTCAAATATTTGAAATTGGAGTCAAATTTAAAATTGAATTGCTGAGTATACTGTCTACCCAGAGGAAGGGATGAATCTTGTTGCTGGACATTTCTCACAAATGTGCGCTCTAAAATCACTCTCTTGGCATTGCACTTACTCCTTATTTATATTTGTCTAGTATTCTGAAAGCTACTTTTGCTTCAGTTTTTAAAAATGCAGGTTCTTCATCCTAAGATTCTTCTGCAGAGAAACCTGTCATCCTTATATCTCTTCCATATAGTTCTTCAGTGTATTGTTTCCACCTTCTCTTTATTTTATCCTGGTCAGATAGTATGTTTTCCAGTTGATCTTCTTTCATCCCTAATTTAGGTTTAAATTTCGCTTTGATTTCTTAGATCTCTTGTTTTTTTTATTCCTGTTGTTCTCTGCTGGTGAAACACAAATAAATCCTTTCAAATAGCAAGTGCACAGAGTCATTCTGTAAAAACGTGGCGTCATATTATCCAAACTGCTATGGGTTTTTCCAGTTTTTTAAAAAAGGAATTTTTTTCATCCTAGCTACTGCTGTACTAAAAACAAAACTGATGAAGATTTTGACTGCTCTTATGTATATATTCTATGTAATAGATTCAGAAACAAGAGTAAACATGAGATCAATGTATCCTGAACCTCCCACTACTGATGACACTCTGGACATTCAACAGCAAGCTTTGCTAAGAGAACAGAAAAAGAAACTTGAAAAACTGAGGAGAAATGCTGAAGGTAACCTAAGGATGACTTCGTGAAAGCAGATGTGGCTTTATGGTCTGTCTTTCTAATATGGCTACAGTAGCCTTCAGTTGGTGGCATACTTTGTGTTTACTTAGTTTGTGTTCACATTTGCATAAACCAAAAGTAATATCTGCTGCAAATACCGTGTTTCCCCCAAAATAAGACAGGGCATTATAATAAATTTTGCTGCAAAAAACACATTAGGGCTTATTTTCAGGGGATGTTTTATTTTTATTTTTCATGTACAGCAATCTACATTTACTTAAATACAGTCATGTCATCTTCTTCTGGTTGCTGCACATTGGTGGAGGGCTGGGTTTCACTTAAGTAGGGCTTATTTTTGTTTGAGCCACCCTGAGAGGTTATAGCAGTCCACATAATGAGGTATAGGCTCCTAAAGTAATATAAAAGGTTAAGAGATCACTTTGGGACCAGACTTAAATTCTTTTTCAACTTTAAAATACTTTTAAATATAAAGCAAGGATTAACAGGCTTAGAAGGCAGAGAAACAAACATACCATAGTAAATACATGGTTTTATGCAAGTTGAAAAATTCCTGTCTGTCAGATCTTGTGTGAAGTGTCTGCTAAGTTGCCAGTTTTCTTTTCTCATGCAGTTTATATACTTTTCTTTCAGTACATTAATGGGTCCTGTAAATAGCATCTAGTGATCTTATCTGAGTGGCGGTATCAAGCACCTCTTTATTATTTTCTTACATTTCAGACCACAGTGATATACCAGTGGCATACATAAAGCAGGGATCCTGTCTGAAGTAACAGATGCTCTAAGCACACTTCAAGGGAAAGAATGCTGGCAACTTTGTTCAAAAATATCACTTTGAATCACTGGCATTCAGAAGGGAGGCGATCCCTTGGCTGGCATCCAGTGTTTAGGGTTATGTGTCCAGCATAGGAGCACCCTTTATCTGTAGTTGCACATGTGTGGAGGTCAGAATGCTCTAACTCACTGGTTCTTAACCTTGGGTTAGTCAGGAGTTTTGGACTGCAACTCCCAGAAGCCTTCACCACCAGCTGTGCTGACTTGGGTTTCTGGGAGTTGCAGTTCAAAAGCATCCGAGTAACAAAGGTTAAGAACTACTGCTCTAACTAACTGCACTGGCATGTCTTATGGCTCTTATCTAAGAGCTGATGCTTCATTCATAAATATCTGAAAGGTCAGAAAAATCTGGAACCTCCATCCAACTTTTTTATTTTTATAGTATGAAATCTAACATGGGGAAGCATTGAAAAAAATAAGCTCTAAAACTGCAGAATTAGAAAACAATGCAACATGCAACCTTTTGTATCATGTGTAATTTCTGGGTCAGGTTTTTAAATGGGGAAAAAGAAGTATCGAGTGAAGGTATGGCATCAAGCTGTTGTTTGCTGTTAAACTTCGGCTGGAGGCTGTATTTGATGTTTTATGGGTACCTGTAGGTAGCTTTTTAATAACATACACATGATTGTAGTTTGGGAGGTCAGCTTCTCAGTTAGAAAATGGCAGCATTGTTCTAATGGAGGAGCCACACTGGGTCGCTTGCATGTCTGCTTTTACATTTTAAGAGATGGGAATATACAAATAGCTCATATGATTTGGCTTTTAAGAAGGTCTGTTATGTTGTTACAAAGTTTTAATCCTCAAGAGACTGCTCAGTTGCAAAAAGAATACATGCCATCCAATTTAGTTTACAAACGGTGAAGACCGACTGAATATGGGCTCAATTTATTCTTTTGAATGTAAATATAATACGTGGCTTCCTATAACTAGTGCTGCTTTTATATAATCACACTAAATAAAGTTGGTTTAAATTGCATTTAGATGTGAGGAAGACACTGCATCCTCTTTTTATTTTTGTCAGTTGGTCAATAAATCATTTAATATGGCACAGCAGTAATTGCTCAATATTGTCCACATTTTTCACCTTATTCTTTCTTTTCTAACAGTGTTTATCAGTTTTTATATAATTATGTGCTTTTTAGTAAAATGTGATTTTTAGTAGAAATTGCTCGTGATGTGATTGTAAATGTAGTTTTAATAAGAGTAAGAGCTGTTACTGACTTAATTTAAGTGTTATGTTTTGCTCTTATTCAGTTAATGTTCTTTGTTTTTGTTCTTTCCTTTGCTTGTTTTAGTTGTCTTAGATTTTGATGATCCTGTGTCTGGCTTCAAATCAAGAGACAGAAGAATGGTAAGCAGACATACAACTGAATTCTTCATTTTTATTCCGATATGGATGATGCAGCCTTAATGTATAATCTATATATGAAAAAACAGTTGCTTTTCTCCCCCCCTTCTTTAAACCCCTTCTCCCATAGTGTTGATCTTCTAGAGAGAATATATTCCCCCCCCCATGTTAGCTGCTCGCATGAAGTTCTTCCCCACTTCACCTTCCAAAGTTAGGCATACTCCAATCCAAAGTAGGAAATCCACATGGATTGTATGTTATGCTACTTTTGAAAGACTACTGAGAAATTCAGTTAACGCAGAATACAGCAGCTAGATTGGGACTGGTTCAAGAGTTCACCTTAGCAATGTTGAAGGATCTCCATTGGCTCTATTTTTGTAGGTTATTGCTGTGTAACTTAAAAAGCTAATATGTGATATGTATAATTCAAGAAACCTTGTAAATATTTTTAAAAATGTATAGTGTCTGCACATGGGGAAAGCAAATCGTTTTCCTTCTAAAAATAGGACTTTTAAATATACCCTCACATGGTTAAAGTATTTTGAAAATATTTTGTGAGAACTGAAGTTTTGTATACTGTACATGTACTGTAGTTCAAAATAAGGCAATTATTAGAAGATTCTAGCAGAGACATTTTGTACATGTCTTCCTCCAGATAGATGGCATAAATGTGCTCCAGAATAAATAAAACTACATTTGTAGAACAGAATGTGAGATGCAAAGTTAGTGCCATAATGAAGACCAGTACTTGAGCACAGAGAAAACTCCCTTCTGTATCTGCACTGCACCATTTTAATATTGTTTGGATTGGAACAGGTGGGAAAGTGGTAGAGTCTCCTTCTGTTAAAAATATTAATAAAGTTTTGCAATTTTCACATCCTGTGTTTATTCATCTTCCTTTTGTGAAGATAAATTTTTATACAATTCAGTTTTCTGTTGCTTTTCTTTGATAGGTTAGGGATGACGAAGCAAATGAATTTTTGAAAACTTCGCTCTTGGAATCTGAGAGTGCTTTTATTGGTGAGTATATCTAATGTTGCACATTCAATGTTTAGTCTTAATTTAGATAGACTAATATCAGGAATTGCTCGTTCTGTAAAAGATCCTGGTGCCAGTCCTAACGTGCAATGCTTTCCCAAGTGGCATCTTATTCCAAACTAGTGTGTATTGTGTGAAACATGTCTTCATACAGTATGTTCCTGAAAGGCTTAAGCTTTATAGAGAAGCCCATTAATCCACACATATGTAAGATGCCTAGGTTTTAGTAGGTGCACTTATGTGTTTTCTTGAATTAAAAAAACTGTGATGGCACACATTTTCATATATTAAATATGTTTATTTAAAATATTATATAAAGTAAAATAAAATTGGACAGACGCATACTTAGTTAGTTAGTTCCTTTACAGCCTCTTTGTCCCATTCTCTGCGCCATATCACCTCCAGGGATGCCAACATTTTACCCAGGATTTGATGTCTCTGAACTGGTATTATTGATTATTGTTTTGTGATACAAGATTTCATTTGCAACTACACACCTAAAGATTGAGTTTCTATTCTGTTTTTCCAATCTTACTTTAGAGATCAAATACAGGCTATTTATTTTAAAATTCCTAGGTACTGATGGTGAGACCTTTCTTACTTCAGAAGTACCCATAACTCCACCACCACCTTTATCTGCAAGGGAAAGGAGGCGAGAGAGAGAAAAGGTAATGGTTGCTGTTCAGTTTTGTTCAAATCAGTAATGGTATAAGTAAGTAGTCCCTTTCATTTTGCAGTGGGACATAGAAACAACTAAAATTGCTTGAATCAGGATACTTAGTATATATGATGCCTTTTTAAAATTCTGTCTTTGTGACAGTAGAATTGCAGGTAGTTAGAACAATGTGAGATGTTGAGACATCTCTAACTCAGAAAAATATAACTGCATTAAACCATAGTAAGAATCCTTTATCCATCCCAGCACCAGGTCTTTGAAAAGAGGGCAAATGTGGATGCTTCAATACCAGTTGTAGTGACAAGATATTCTGTTGTTTTGTTGTTCATTATCAAAGTTACATGCTCAGTGGTCCTCCAGGTGTTGTTGAGCTGCCTCTCTCATCATCCCTTAACTTTGGCAGTACTTGCTAGGGATAATGAGAGCTGTTCAGTGACATCTATTGAGGCAAAAATTGCTCACCTCTGCTTTAAAAGTGTTTATTGTTAGCATGGGTGGTGGTGAAAGAGCTATCATTAAAAAAAACTCAGGCAGTTAAATAGCTGCTTGATATGACAGCCATTGTGGGTGGGGAGAGGAGGGAGAGCAGAGAGACACATGAGTGTCCAACGTTTTCATAAAATAGATTCATTTGTAGAGTAGTGTTCATGTGCACGTTTCATTACCCTTTATAACTAGTTGTTTATACGGATGAAGATTTACTTTGTGTAAAGCTCCTGCTGGTATTTTATCATCTAATATGTATGGTAACTATTAAATTCCTCACAATTCCTTGAATCTATAGGAAGGTGCTGCCCTTAGAGTGACTCCACTGCCACAGTCCGACAACAGCTCTTTACATTCCAACTCTAGTCTCAACATAGATCATCTGAAAGCCAAAAATGAGGAGCGGCTGCAAAGATTAAAGGAGTTACAAAGGAAGGCCATTAATTTAGGTATTTCCCTTTTCTGAATGTTAAAATGGGAGCAATTCACAAATGAAGAATTCAACCCATGTGTTCAGAGACTTTGAAGTTCCAGATGGGGTGGAAGAGTACAGCTAATAAGTACAAAATGAGGGAACGTTGCTTAGGCAGCAACGTTTCCTTGTTGCCGTGCTTTTGGTGTGACACTGCTGTGTAACAAAATACCTGTATGGGATAATTTCCAAGGAATTAGAAAGCTACTATTAACTCTAATGGCATTTTGCTTCATTTGGCCAGGCTAAAGAAGTGCAGTAAGAGACTGTGGACTGAAATTTACTGGGGTAGATGTGGAAGAGATTCTAAATTTTCTAGAGATTCTTCTCTGTGTGTTCATCAGCATTAAGACTAGAGGGAAAAGGTACAAAATGGAAGCCATTTAGGAGGTAGCAACATTTTATCAAGGCTTCCTTTAACAACAAACTATTTGGCTGTCATTTCCGTTTTACAATGGATGTTGGCTGTGTTTACCTCATGAACAGGTCCACAGCTCCTCTTACTCCTCCAAGGCCCTTTGGATTTTATGTACTGAAGATTGGATAGATCTTGATTAGATAGCATGACGCCGGATGGAGGGCCTTCTAAGTCATTTACTCCAACCCTCTGCTTCATGCAGGAAATCCACAGCTAGTCTCTCTTAACAGATGACAGCCAAAATCTGTTTAAAAATTTCAGCAGTGTATGTTGTCCCTATTGTTGCTGTCTTCCTGCGAACCCTTTAAAACTTTTCTACATCCTTTTTAAAGTGTGTTTCTCAAAATGTGACCAAGCAATCTGGGTTGGTTGGACTAGTGCAGAGTAAACTGAAACTAATGGTTTTTTTCAGTTCTGTTTCAACCTTAATTAAAATCTATTTGCGAAGGCTTTTATGGATGGGATCTAATTGTTGTTGTGGGTTTTTCAGGCTCCTTGGCCTTGTTCTGAAGGTTGTTCTTCCTAAAGTTTCGTCAGTCTGTGTGGCTGGCATCTTCAGATGTGCTGTCCTCTGAAGATGCCGGCCACAGAGACTGGCGAAACGTTAGGAAGAACAACCTTCAGAACACGACCAAAGAGCCCGAAAAACCAACAACCATTAATAAAAATCCCTTAGCCATTTCTTGCAGTTGCACCATACTGCTGATTGAGGCAAAGTATGTGCTTGAATACAATCTCAAGATTCTTTTTACCTACACAGTTGTCAAGGTAGACAACTGTGCTGAGCACAGTTTGCCTGAATCCCATTGTGGAATCAATAGGATTTAAATAAATGTTGACTCATCATTCAGAACTTGATTTAGCCCTTTCATTTTGCATCCAATTCTGCATTTTTTGCTGTTGCATTTTGCATTGTTCCAGAAATGTCTTGTTTTATCAAGGTAATTTTAATTATAGGCCTGTCCTTTGTTTCTGTTTGCAGTCCATCCTAGTATTGTGTAATCTTCCATTTTGATAAGGATTTCTTCCACCATTGACTAGAATCTTAATGACAATTTACTCCTGCGCAAGGGAAACTGTGTTAAGTCACAGCAGCAAATCATTGCTCATTGATGATGTGCTAGTTGCATTTTTGGGCAGAATCAGGCATGTGGTGAAGAATTAAGCTAGCACCTCATTCATGAGTAGCAATTTGTTGTTGAAACTTGCATGATTTTCCTTTTACATGTACAAAGTGCCAATAGGGTTCTGGCCCTTCAGTGGTACTGATGTTGATGGTATCACTTGCCATACAAAAGTGATTTTAAAACTAACAAAAATGTTTAAAACAACTTTCCCCCAAATATCCTGTATTCTTTCTCAATAGGTTAGCATTTTGCATCATCAAAATCTGGACTCATTTTTTACATTTATAAAAGGGAAGTTATAGTCAGGGTGAGTAACTGACCAAATATAGTTTCTGCTATCTTTTAGATAGATAGATATAGATGTTTGAAGATGCCTTTTGAATACAGTTTGTCAAAACAGCAAAATAAATAAATAAAAATGCTGTCACAGAGCAACTTAGGTGGCTGCATGGATGTCTGTTTGCTGGCTGCTATTTATTTTTATTTATTTCATTTATTGAACTTGTATCCCACCCATCTAGACAGTGTCTACTCTGGGCAGCTCACATCAAATAGAATAAAAACAGTTAACATATAAAACAATTTCACGGCAGTCAACAGTCATTCAAGATGGAGATAAAAGATAAATCAAGTGGTGCCCGGAGGGAAGGCCTGCCTAAATAGCCAGGTTTTGAGTTGGCTTTTGAAAATACCCAGCGAAGGGGCCAAGCGGATCTCGGAGGGGAGATTATTCCAAATACGGGGAGCCACTGACAAGAAGGCCCAGTTTCTTGTTTTTTCCTTCTGGGCCTCCCTCAGCGTTAGGCTCCTCAGCCACCCCTCCTGGCTGGAACGAGTGATACGAGTAGATCTAGGTGGGAGGAGGTGTTCCGCCAGGTATCGAGGTCCTAAACATTTAGGGCTTTATATGTAATCATTAAGACTTTGAAATCAATGCGGAAACGAATGGGCAGCCAATGCAAGGCGGCCAGGGTGGGAGAGATTTGTTGATGTTTTCTCACCCCACTGAGAAATCTGGCCGCCACATTCTGCACCTTTCCTGTGCTATTTTTCCTGTGCTCATTTACAGCTGAACAACATATTTCTCCCATAGATTCTACATATCCATTTCAGCTGGGGTGCATCCTGTTTCTGCCTATGCAGAATCCCCGTATTGTTTCACTTACACACTTTTATGGGGCTACCTGTACAGATTCCATTTATCTGTGAACATCATGGAATCTTTATATACTTCTAGACTAAGCGTATGTTTTTAGATTTACTTCATAGTAAACTGGGACAGTATAATCTCAGAAGCTACAGTTTAAATAATATTTATAACAGTTCAGCAGATTTCCATTTTTTAAAAAGCATGCATTCCCTAAACACAAACTAGGTATATTAATCTGTCTTCAGTAGGTTCAGCTACACAGAAAGTGCCCTTCTGTGTTGGGGGGGGGAAGGAAATGCATGGAGTGACCTGTATGAAAAAGACCCCTTTATATCTGAGGGAAATGATAGTACACTTGTTTGGTATTTGTGGAAGAAAGTATGGTGTTCTCTTGAGGGGATGCTGGAAAATGTGTCGCTCTCTTTGAATTCACAGTCTGGAGCAAGCCTGTTGTACGTACATGTAAAATCAGGGCAACTGAATGTTTAATATACACATATTCATTGGATATTCTCCCAGGGAAGGTGGGAAATCATAACTTGCCTTAATTTCTTGTGTCCAATCTTCCCATTTTCATGTTTCATCAGATAAGGAGCAGTCAGAATCTTACTATCCCATGTATTGGTTCTGAAGATAAAATGTCAGATATTCTTTTAAATCTAGAATAGATTGCTATAATAGTTATCAAAACTGTAAAATTCCTTGTTGCTACTCTTTTTGCAGCACATGCATTTAATGCATTGCATATATTTTCTTTCACAGCAGAAGTCCCCACATATCCTCTCACTTAAAGCCTCCTATCCCACCTGAAAATGGCTTTAGAGGGTTTCCTGGCCCTACTGAACACTTTGAGAGTATGCTGTTAAAGGGAAGGCTTTGAGAGTGTGCTGACAGAGACAGATCACCCCTTCAAGTTCTGCTGACAGCAGCAGCCTTTCAGCAGCTGGATTCAAGTCAGAAATATAATACCCTGGAAGGAGATGTCCTTTAATCTGAAATTCTGTTCCATTCCATACTCTAACACGCTAGAGCATGGAACAGAACAAAGTGAACACTTTTTCTTTTCATCTTCCAAATCTCTCCATTTTGTTAGAATAGACCATCTAACATTTCAGCACCATTCCTCAGCTGGACAGTGTACATTTAATTTACCCCTCTGATCACTTATTTATCCACACTGGACACTCTATGGGGTGGAGGTTGTTTTGGGAGATGCTTCAGAGAGAAAAGAATCAGCAGAGGTTTCCTTCCCCTCTCCTTGGTTCCAGGCAAGAGTGTTCTCAGCAGAACTTGAATTAGGGAATTTTATCACTGCCATTAAAAACCTATAGCATTCTAGTTGAGTAACAGCTAGTGCTGGCTCTGTTAAGACGTAATTATGACACTGTATTTTTGCTTGCAAAATCCATGATTGAAGAAGAAAGTTGTAATGTTTGAAAATTTCAGAATGACCTGGTGGGCCATTGAAATACGTCATTGAACTAACAGTGTTTTGAACTAAGAATGGAACCTAACTTTGTGTTTTTCTTTTTTCAAGCTGATGATATTTCATTGGGAAATGCTGACGAAATCCTGAACGAGTTGCCATCTAAAGATGGCAGAAGATCCAACTCTGTTGACACTGTGGCAACAGAGCCATGGTTGAGACCAGGGACATCAGAGACCCTTAAAAGATTTATGTCTGAGCAGTCAAGTCAAGCTAAACTTTCTTCTGAGAAAAATTTCCCCTTCAACTGGCAGGGACTGTCAACTGCCCATGGATGAATAAATCTGTAGCAAAGCCAGTTGTGCCTTTCAAAAGAATGCTTCTCCACTATTGCACTTTTAAATTTTTTTAATGTAAATGTTCTGTACAGAAGCAGAGATGTAACAGAGCCTGCAAAAAAAAATTCAAAAGGCAGGCAAATTGATTATGACAAAAATTCTGATTTTCACTTTTCCCAGATTAAACTGTCAGTTTTGCTCATAGGATCCAAACTTTAACATGGAACATTTTGCACTAGGTAACCCTGAAAACACCACAAGATAGCTAAGTACACAACTAGCTGATTTAACAGCATGGCACTTTTTGGTACCTCAGACCACAAGTACCAATACAATTGAGATAAATATCCCAACTTAATGGAGCTAAGTACTGTGCTTGGAGTTCTTGAATGTGTAATTTCTTGTTGCTCATTTGCCGTTTAATATTTAGCCTGTATTTTCAATCCAATCATTTGTTTTAAAATGCTGAACACTTTGTCTATTTTAAAAAGGTCAATAGTGAATACTACAAAATATATTTATGGTTTTGATTAAGATTATAAAATAAATTCTATTTTACTAAGAATTGAGTGTATTTCTTGCCAAACAAGTAGGCATCCTTCAGTCTCGAGAGACTGTGTTAACGTACTCTAAATAGAGGTCTTGGAATAGCATCTAATTCTAAATAAAGGTCTTGGAATAGCATCTAGTGTGGCTGAGAAGGCCAATTTGAGAGTGACAATCTCTTCCACACTGAAGACAATCTGTCCCCTGTCCAGTTCCCTGATTTTGCTGGTTTCGGGACTGCCTATTTGCCTCGGTCTGCTGAATGAGTGTCTCTTCAAATTGGGAGAGGCCATGCTGCACCACCTGCCTCCAGGCTGAACGATCAGATGTCAAAGTTTCACATCTGTTGAGGTCCATTCCTAAGGCCTTCAGATCCTGCTTGCAGATATCCTTGTATCGCAGCTGTGGTCTCTCTCTGGGGTGCTTTCCCTGCACTAATTCTCCATACAGGAGATCCTTTGGAATCCAACCGTCATCCATTCTAACATGCCCAAGCCAACATAGATGTCACTGTTTCAGTAATGTATACATGCTAAAAATTCCAGGTCGTTCTAGGACTACTCTATTTGGAACTTT